GATACTTGTAGTGGCAGCACAAAAATTTTCATTTTTCAGAATGACTGCAAGTAATAAAATTAAATAGAGAAATGTTTTGCTTTCCATACTTACATGGTAATATGAGGTAAAATAATGCCCTTTTATAATCTGTACTGCATTAAGTCAAACATCTAAGGTACAACTAATCAAGACTTTTTTTCAAACCCAAATATTCTGATTTATGTGATCTCATATTTTGATCCTATAGTGGCATGATCTTCAGCAGCTACTGGATTGATTGAGACAACGACCATGGCCAGGTCCTCTACTTTTGCTATGCTAATGATCTTAAACTTGTAATAATAATAATAATAATAATAATAATAATAATACTCAAGAATCTCGGTATATTTGTTTAGAAAGTATAAAATCTAAACTTTTCATCTAATATTGGTTCAAATAAATTAGCAGAACTATTGGATTAAATGGTAGTTACCTAGATTAAGAAAGAATATTCTCAAAATCAAGTGCCTGACTAAGCTACATGGGGGAAAACACACCTTAGTCATTAATACAAATCAGGCTCTACTGCATACAAGTTATCTGGGTATCTAGATAGGTGGTACATGTGTTGACATAAAGCATCCCACCTAGATCTCTATGATGTTTGGTGTACCCCAATTTTCCCAAGGTAAAAATCTTTGTACAGCTGTAAATCTCTTTTTAACCTTTGACCTTTATACTTTGAAATTATGGTTTAAAAGAATATTCTCAAAATAACCTTTATTTCTGTTGTTTTTGGGTCAAACAAAATAATATATTAAAGAAGATAGCTCACCTTGGTGCAACATGGCTGCCAAGCAACGGTTTCTTCATTCACCACACTTTTTTGCAATGCTCAAGAAATTAGATGCCTCTAGCAGCCAGATCACCATTGTGTCCTTGGATGTTGTTTATGGAAATAGTGTGGATTTCCACACCAAAGATGCTACAATTAATCAAGTTTGGTCAACACCTCTTATTCTAGTTATTTTCAACAGTTAGATCATATTCTTTCTATAAAAGCATTGATACCAGTGACAACTTTATTATTATTGAGTTTAATTTCATTTTGTGGAGAATCTCCAAGAAGAAAAAGATTTCTGTCTTCATCACTTTTGAAGGGTTTTCAATCTAGAATTGAGCCTAGCAATGGCAAGAGAGTTTATATGTGGCTTAAGATCACTTATCCTTAACCATATCTAAACTTAGATAATGAAAGGATAATCCAAGCACTTAGCCAAAAGCCATAAACATCACAAACACCTATTCCATCACTTTGTTCTATTTCATGTTATTCCATTCAATTTGTTCCATTTGAGATGTAAATAAAGTACCACTAAAATACTCATCACTATAGTCCCTCTATGAAATAGCAATTGTGTATAGTTGGATATATAAAAAGGATTTTCTAGCAATCAAAGGAGTTATTTTCAGTTTTTGATATATTTTTATTTGGTATATTTATCTTGTCTATAACTATAATAATTTACAAATTTCACTTTGTGAGTGCATAAAATATGGAAATGAAATATAGAAATGCACAAATGAATTAATCTAATAACCCACTTATATATAAGAGTGAGGGCCAATAATAGAACGACTTTGGGATCTTGGGAACAATATAAGGTTTCCTCAGAGAGCTGAGGATGTGATCTAGATGAGCGTTTGACGCAGCAAACGGGCTAATGTAGTTGTGGTAAACAACTATAATTGGGATCACGGGAAAGATGTAGACTCCAAAATAATAAAGGAGTCACAAGATTACCCTCATATAGTTGAGGCCGGTGCTCATAACTTTGAGACCGGAATTGATGACCATGGGAGGTCAAATATAGGAGAGGACACAAGTCCTCGAAATGGTAGCTGAGGTTACCCTTGATAAATGCTGGAACAACCCAAGGAGTTGGGGATGTACTTAGAGGATGAGTTGGTATTCTCATCACATGGACAAATGGTCCTAAGAGGCAAAAGGTCCCCTCCTCTCAAAAAGCAAATTTGGAGGAATATCAAGAAAAGGCATTGGTGGATTTGCAAGTGGTGTTAGTTGTTCTTGACCTTTTTATACGAAACATTTTAGCCACTATATATGCATAATTTCTGGATGATTAGATTGTTGAATGTCAATGATGTGAGGTCTAAGTGTATGGCTAAGATGCCATATACTTATATTAGCATAGTGGCATATTAGTGGCTGTTAAATTGGTTTCAATTTGGACCATGCCAAACCTTATAAACTTGTGATCTAACTTGTTACAACACCCAATATAGTCCTTTCCATTGCATAAGGAGCCCTTTAGATTGGGACTATAAATTGGGAAAATAGACTAACACCAAGCATCCATTTTATACTTTGCAAATGGATAATGATGGGAGTTGTAGTATTGTTGTTGTCCCACTTATGCATGGCTCAAGTGTTTAATAGACTCTACTTAGACAAGTGGAATAATGCTCGTTAAATACAGAACCTAGTATTGGTAGCTTATGATAATCGTGAAGGTAAACTTAACTCTATTGGTAGTATTAGATTATAACTATATAGAAGTTTACATAATGAAGCACCAACAGAACTCTATACCCTTGTGACATATACATACTAAAGAAATGGCAAATACTTTGTAATCATCCCTTTAAAAGTCCAAACAAGCTATTCCACCATACCATTTATTAATGGATGATAAGAACTTATGAAAGTATGGTATATCCATTATTGAGACATTAAAATGTGAAATGCCTCAACCATAAATGCGGGATTATTATTATAGCATACATGGTTTTTACCCTTTATCCTATGGTGTTCTACCATAGAATAACCATGACGCGGAACCTAGACCCTCTATATTCCACGTGTCACATGCCACATGCCATGTGTCCAAAGTATAATGGTGCAGAACTCAAGTTTTAGGGCCTTGGGCCACTGAACAAAAGAACAGTGCCAAACTCCCAAGTATGGAGCCAAGGAGTGAAGGAACTAGAGCATAGAGTGACTCTTGAGCGTACAACCTAAGGAGCGAAGAGACAAAAGCACAGAATAACTTGGAATAATCCTAGAGTATCCAGTATTCCAATGCTAGAACTAGCACACAAAACGGAGCCAAATAGAGTCTGGTGCTATTTTAGCATACTGATGGCCTAACGTGAGGATATGGGTACTCCACCAGCTAGCATGGAATGGAACTTGGGTTTAGACCCAAGCCGGATACAGAACAAGGACAAGCACACAAACAGAAGCTAAACTATGCCTCAGATTGGTCAGTCATACCCGACTTACCCACTATCCCTACTATACATTTGGAACTCCCTATATCCCCCCCCCCCCCCCCGAGAAACACATGCTTTGGGCTTTCACCTTAAGCCTCTCTTAGTATTAGGAGTTAGTCTCTGGGACAAACTCGAAACTTACTAAATATGGAATGTCCCTAGATTGCGAATTTGGACACGGGATAAACACCATTGTGTTCAAGACAATCTCTACATTCTGTAAATATGCCAAATGAGCAAATCTAGACACTTTTCATAAATAGCATTTGGGACCAAAATGAGACTAATATAAAGGGCATGATAACGAGGGTGTTTAGTAGATACGGTAAGCTTCCAGCGATATTGAGGAACTAGTCTCAATATGTGAGGGTTCTTGTCAAACCAATGCAAGACAGAGCAAAAAAGAACTAAAAAGCCAGACCAAGTATGCTTGGTTAAATATACACTTAGGAATTCCGTCCTTATGGTCATCTAGCCAAGTATAGATGCAAAATCTAGTTTACTAACATTTGAACAAGAGGGACTAATAAAGGGTTTAGCAATACCAACCTTTTGCCATTGTGGCAGTAAGGAAAGAGTGTCCGTAAGGATTGACTAATAGATAACTTTCAATACCCAGAGTCACATTCGCGACATTCTTCCCCCCTAGGGAAGATTGACGTCCTTGTCGATGCATACTCGAGTTTAGACCACTGCTTAGGAAACAACTCCAGAAAAAGTACACTATGTGAGAAATGCACCAACTTAAATGAGTTATAATAACCTTTTTGTCTAACACAGATGCACTATCAACTCAAACACTTTCCAGCCGTTGCCGACAAGGGAATTGTCAAGACCCCCAACAAGATCAAGACTGGAAAATGCTAAAGACAAAGAGAAAAAGCTAGTGAAAACAAAGAAGAGGCCTTAGACTGGTGTTGATTCAGATTGTGGAGAAATGGAACAAGGCTAACCTATATATACTATAGGTTGATGAAGCTCCACCACTCTTGGATCGAGGACAGCCTAAATACAACTGAGGTCGAGGAGGTGCCACATCATCATCAGGAATGTGGCTCGAGACTCAGGAATCGGGAAGTGTCTCGAGAGTCAGGAATAGGGAAGTGTCTCGAGAGTCAGGAATAGAGAAGTGTCTCGAGAGTCAGGAATGTGGTCTGCAGGTCAGGAATCCGGCGAGAGTCAGGAATGTGGCAAGAATTGGGGGATTCCTGACAGCACCCCCTCCTCAAGAACGAGTGGAACGAGGATGTGAACGAGAATGAAGAGGAGGATGAGATGAGCGGC